AAACTGTATTGGACATTACATGTATTGGACATTAATTTTACGGTAGTATACTGGTTTTGGAAGTGGAAAAAGACTGTATCATTTACAGTGAATAACCGTAAATGGACATTTCCAGAATTCCCTGCGTTACATTTCAAATTTTATGGGTTTTTTTGTTGTTGAAATAACTGTTTCTTCTTAGTTTTTTCTTATCAATTTTGTATATTAGGGTTGTGTGTTACACCTAATGTTGTTAAATGAATGTTTACTGCATTATTTCAGTTTCATGTGTGTTACCGTGATGGTGTTTAGTGTTTGTGTGAATGACTCTGTGCACCTTCTATATATGTTATTATTTAAAAGCTGCTTGTGATAGGCTTTGGTTCATCATGTGACTTTCTCATCACCTCCTGCATTTGGTGGTTATCAGTGTATTACAAAGATACAAAACAGATTTCAGTACTTCAATAGGTTGGTATATTAACATTATTTCAGTTAATGAAATTAATGTATTTAACTGTAAATTTAAAGTAAAACTGTAAAACCTAAAATGTTGCTACTATTTTTTACGGTAAAATTCCGGCAACCACAGCTGTAATTTTACCGTAATTTTTTTTTTACAGTGCAGCCATTCATTTCAACCATTTATGTGCCTTGAGGTGAACACACTGCCCCGTATGTCTCTACTAATGACCAGTGTTGGGAAGGTTACTTTGGAAATGTAATAGGTTACAGATTACAATGTAATAAGTAGTACTATTTCAATTTCTTCATTCAAGTAATATAACTGATTACATTTGATTACTTTTTGATTACTTCTCTAAATTTCTATTGTTTTCAACTGTTAATCATTTTCAAACATGTAAAATGTAAAAAATTTTCGTTAGGGAAGCAGGCAGGCTTAACCTTACAGTAGTACTCAACACTGATTACTATCACTTTCGAAATCCATTACTTTTTGATTACTTCTCTAAATTTCTATTGTTTTCAACTGTTAATCATTTTCAAACATGTAAAATGTAAAAAATTTTCGTTAGGGAAGCAGGCAGGCTTAACCTTACAGTAGTACTCAACACTGGTTACTATCACTTTCGAAATCCTTCATCGCTTGAATTAAGATTATAATTTAATTTTAAAGCACAGCCACCACAAAATCAGACTTACTTTGAGATCATTCTGAGGTTAAATACAGATTTAAAATCATAACACGATATAGTTTAATAGCTATGATACAATTTTTGAAATCAAATCTTTGCATAGCTATGACAGGTTAAATCTTAAATAAAACAGTTAATCTTAAATAAAGCATATACACAAAAAACAGTTCTCGAAAAAATAAAAGATAATTCAAAATATTAATAAATACTATAATAGAATATAAATAATACTAAACTTTCGTAGGAATTTAGTTTTGAATTATTTAAAACTTGTATGTATAATTGCACAGTTGTATGTGATTGTATATTTATTAGACAAAGATTCATTGTAGTTTTGATATTCTTTTTTGTACTGGTTACAAATTTTAGGTTGAAAACTGGTTCAGGAGAAAATGTCATGAATCAGAGAAAATGTATTAAATAAAGATGAATGTTTTTGCAGACACAGCGATCAATAACTATTTTTGTTATGGTCGATAACTGATATGACAGTCCAATATAAATCGATGCCGTTTTGTTTGAATAAAACTCTTCTCAATTAAACTTTGATCTAGAATTTAGAATCAAAACATAATATTACTATATAACACTTTTTTTAAAAACTGGTATGGTACACTCTTAAAAATAAAGGTGCTTCACGATGCCATAGAAGAACCTTTTTTTGTCTAAATGGTTCCATAAAGAAGCTTTAACATCTGAAGAACCTTTCTGTTTCACAAAAGCTTCTTTGTGGCGAAAGAAGGTTCTTCAGATTATATAAGGCTAAGAAAGAGATGCTTCTTTAAAGAACCTTTGACTGAATCAAGGATCGAAATTGCTCCCATAATTTAATCTGTGCGACCTCAAAATATATTTGGGAGCATTTGTGCGAGTGCATATAATTGTTGTTGCATGTGCGACCTGTTTTAATTTCTCTAAAAACTTTCACAGTTATGTGTTTTCTGTTTGCTGATACGGTGAGCAGTCTGCCGTTCTATCAAACGTTACATTACTTCATCTTTACATTCTTAACTTTAATGCAGATTTTAGATTGGTTACTATTAGCTGTCAATCACTCAGTCACTGCTTTCCGCTGTCAGCTTTGCTAATGCAAAGGGCTGAAGAAGAGAGACAATGAAAATAACACTGACAGAACCACCTAAAGTTACAAATAAGGGTGCTGGTGATAGCGATCATGTGGTGAATGTTGATCCACCAGCCGAAAAGAAGGCGTACAGTTTTCGGAGAGAATGGTTGAAAGACTTTGAGTGGCTCCGCTATGAAAATGCACTGTGCTCTATGCACTGCATTCACTTTGAGACGGAGTTTGCAGGTAACACTAGTTAGGTTAGACTAGTGCGCGTGCGCATTTAGACTGCGTTTTTTTCACTGCATGATTTAATCTATTAAAGGGGTCATATGATGCTTTTTTAAAGATCATTATTTTGTGTATTTGGTGTAACAGAATATGTTGACATGCTTTAATGTGCAAAAAACACATTATTTTTCAAATACTGTACATTATTGTAGGTCCTCTATGCCCCGCCTCTCTCAAACACTTCGTTTTCTACAAAGTCCCTCCTTCCGACAAGCGCAGTCTGCTCTGACAACATAACCAACGTGACCACCTGCTTGCACAGGGAGCGTTCTGGGGACTATTTTCAGGCGCTGCGTAATATTGCGCCTGCTGCACCCATGGTACGGCAGCAAAGTTCCTTGATTATTACACCGGAATGAGAGTATAGTTCCTAGCCAACTTTTCATTTTCCATCAGTCTTAGTACAGGATGTAACTACAGAAGAGTCAAGTTTTAAATAGGAAAAATATAGAAACTCTTTGGTCATTTTTGAGCAAGATGCTAACGGTCTAATCAGATTCAATGATCTATGCTAAGCTACAGCTAAAAGTGCTACCGCCAGACCCGGAGATCGGCTGAATGGATTCGAAAATGGTAAAACTCAACTGTTTAACTCTAGGGGAGTTGGAAAATTAGCCTATTTTCAAAAATAGTGGAGTGTTCCATTAAAATATATTTTCTTTTCTTTTCAATTTTTTTTTTATAATTTCAAATATCCGCTTTCAGTGTTTTATGTTTACAGTATTAAAACATTATATATGGATGTGTAACTGCAGGTTAAATGCATTCATGTCCTGCATTAAGCAGTGTGTAAATGCATCTAAATGCCTCTTCAGTTGCAGCTTCTGTGTTTCCTCTGCACTGCAAAGATGAATTTTGTTGATACTGCTTTCATTTGCTTGATAACAGCCCAAATTTCTTATTACTCTACTTGACTGATTAAATGTAAGAATTTGACTCAAATGATGATGCACACTTTTAGAAAAAAAGTGGCTTAATTATAAAAATGACCATAAAGAGTAAAAATCTATTTAAACTTATAGGAAAAGATTAATTTCTATCACTGCTGTGAACTGACCAGCACACAGAATATGAAGAATATCAAAGTCAGCTGTCCACGGTATAGTCTTTAAGACTACCAGCACAATAACACAAGATCAGCACAATAACACACTCAGCAAAATATCGTCTAATTATCGTTAGCGATAAAATCCTAGAAAATATAGAGATACATTTTTTTGTCAATATCGCACACACCTAGCTGCCAGCCGTTCTGCGCAATTGGCAGAGCTGAATGTAAAATTTAACACCGCATACACCATCCTAACCCTCGCTAAAGAGGAGCTCTCTCTCTCTCTCTGTTACAAAAGAAATCTGTCAGTGTTCTTTTCATTGTCTCTCTTCTTCAGCCCTTTCCATTAGCTCCCTGTCACCTGACAGCAGAAAGCAGTGACTGAGTGATTGACAGCTAATATTAACCTAAAATCTGCATTAAAGTTAAGAATGTAAAGATGAAATATGTTAATATTTGTAGTTGTGGTGCTCATTAATTTTTGCTGGTGCGCCTAACTTTTTAAAGTTGGGAGCACCAGTGCTACCAAGTAAAAAAGTTAATTTCGAGCCCTGCTGAATGGTTCTCTGTGGAACTGAAAAATGTTTCTCCTATGGCATCGTTGTGAAGAACCTTTTGAGCACCTTTATTTTTAAGAGTGTAATCTTTTTTTTGCTGTCTTTTTAGGACAAAAATGATCTGTTCACAATTCAGATCAGTGCCAATAACGAACCCCCCCAATATTAGCCGATATGATGACTGATAACTCATCTGTGTCTGTCTGTGATGTTTGCACAGATGCAGTGGACTCACCTGGGCGCGTCTGTTCACTCGCGCACACCGTTCACCTACAGGATCCCCAAAGACGAGTGGAGGCAGGTGGTCACGCTGAACCTGCTGTACACAGCCGTGCCCGTCCTCCTCGCCGTCCGCTGCTACATGGACCAGACCTTCTTCATGAAGAGTGTTCCTCAGGAGCAGGCCAGCAACGGCAAGAAGAAGAATTAAAACCCTCAGCATTCACACGCTAGAACATGCATGCGTCCTCTTTACAGGAGAGAGACTCCGCTGTCAGCTGAAACCACCAGGGATTATTTGTAAAAGCATCAATATATCAGTGACTATATCTGTATCTACCAATATTAGTGGTTTTGAAATGTCCAGCGAAGCCTTTCCGTCTGATTAGGCTGGTCCCAGCTAACAAAAATAAGTTCTAAGACATTTCGCTAACATTCCCATTCATGTTCAAAACGTCCAGTTACAAATGTTACGTTAATGGAACATTCCATTGTATCACTTTGCAACATTAAGGAAATGTTACTTTTGAATGTTCTATGAAAACAGAAAAAAAAAGTTAGACACTACAAAGTTCCATTAACGATATATAACTAACGTTTTTGTGCTAACATTTTGATAACATTGTTAAAGACCAGAACATTTTGAACATTTTATTAACGTTACTGCAAGAACGTTTTTTTCATAACATTGAGAGAACCTTTTCAGAACGTTCCGAGAACATTCCCTGTTATTGTAAGCAGATTCAAGTATTTGGCCGTATTTTTTCCAATTCAAGCAGTAAATTATTTTTCTATACTATGTTATAAAATATTTCAGTCATAACAGTCATGCATTTTTTTATCATCAGTATCAGTATGATTCAAATAATATTAGACAGATGCCTGATTTTATTTATTTTATTATAAGCATGGTACGTTGATTCTGTGACGGAAAAAAAAAACAGAATTTTGAGATGTAAACCCAGAATTCAGACAGCAGTCAAAAATTAAAAGAGGTTTAAACTCAGTCTGAATTGTGAAATAAATTCAAGTTGGCAAGGAAAAAAGAACTGTTTAGTCAAATGTTGCAATTACCTTTTTTATTTGATAACGACAGCAAATCAGCATATTAGAATGATTTCTGAAGATCATGTGACACTGAAGACTGCAGTAATGTAATCACAGAAATAAATTAGCCTATATTTTAACAGATATTAACATTGAAAACAGCTATTTGACATTGTAATAATATTTAACAATATTACTGTTTTGCTGTATTTGTAATCAAATACAAGCCTTGATGAGCAAAAGAGACTGTCAAATGTGTTTTTCTCAGCTCATTTTAACACTGTTTTTTACCAAATTCTAACCCTTTCTCTACATGAGTGTGTGTGTTTATATGAAGCTGATATGAATCAGATCAGTCTCACTGGGCTAAAAATGTGAACACTGCCTTTGTGTGAGTCTTATAGATGGAGGAACAGGCCACTGCCCAGAAGTGAGAACTAAATATAGCAAACAATGAGAGTAACTTCAACACTATCAGATAAACAGAAGCTCAATCTGACCTCATGGACCTGAAGTGGGCGTCAGGATCAGACACGATGGAGGAGAGACAGACAGCAGAACATAGATTATTATAGATATACAGTATAACACTGCAGAATAGAACAGATCCCTCAGGAAATAAATGAGATCGCTTTAATATCTCAATTGTTTCTAAATGGGAGACTTTTGCCTTGAATAAACAAAAAATGTGCTCACCCTCAAGCCATCCAATATGTAGATGAGTTTATTTCTTCATCAGATTTGGAGAAATGTAGCATTGCATCAGTGTCTCAGCAATGGATGCTCTGAAGTGAATGGGTGCCGTCAGAATGAGAGTCCAAACAGCTGATAAAAACATCACAATAATCCACAAGTAATCCACAGCACTGGAGAAGAATCTGGAGAAGACAAAAGCTGAAACAAATCCATCATTAAGATGTTTTTAACTAAAATCTGAGTCCATAATCCATAATAACGCTTCCTCCAGTGAAAAAGTGGTCTGGTCTGAATCAGGAGAGCAATCTGCACAGATCAAGCACCGTTTACAAGCCAAAACAGCTCTAAACAAATATGTGGCTGGATTTTGATGTGAGAGACAACATTAGATGCACCTTTTCACTGGAGGAAGCGTTATTATGGATTATAGACTCACATTTCAGTTAAAAACATCTTGATGGATTTGTCTCTGTTGTCTTCTCCAGATGTTAACTGATGGACTGGAGTGCTGTGGATTACTTGTGATGTTTTTATCAGCTGTTTGGACTCTCATTCTGACGGCACCCATTCACTGCAGAGCATCCATTGCTGAGACACTGATGCAAAGCTACATTTCTACAAATCTGATTAAAAACAAACTAATCCAAATCTTGGATGATCGGTGAGGACATTTTCATTTTTTGGTGAACTGTTCCTCTTAAGTATGCATGCATAAAGTATGTTTAAAAGCGTCTGCTAAATGACTAAATCAGCAGATGAATGTGTGTCTGTGTGACTGCTGAGGCCTAAAATCACATAATAAATGTAAGTGAGTCCTAATAGAGAACTAGAGCAATAATGAGCAACACAACAGCACAGCATACTAAAATTAACTGTGTATAAAAACTGCTGTCATGCACTGGCCTTGCAGACTATCAATCACAAATATATATCATAATCACAAAATATATCATAGCATTAGCATTTTTAGAATTGATTCCCTTATAAAATTAACAAAATGCATCAAGGAAACAAGAGAAATTAATTTGTACACGTTCAGTTTGAAGTATTATTCGTGCATTGAGAATAGAAATGCTTAAATTGAGTTTTAACACAAGGAAGCAGGTCACTCAAAATAAACATATGAAATGACAGCAGTTTTGATCCAATCAGTTTTATTGTTGGCTTGTCTCGAGTTTAATAAAGAACAAAAACACATCAACAAACGTGAAGTGAAGCATAAAAACATCAAAGTTTGACCTCAGAAAGCAGATTGATCTGAGCATTTTAATAAGGGTTTAATAAAGAGATCCAAACATATGCTCGTTATTGTGTGAAATACACATTTCCATGCCACTTCTGCTAGTTATAGTACAAAAACAATACTGAATAGGGTGATTAAATGTGATCAGATACTAGAATAAAAAAATACTAAAAAATGTTGTCATTAAAAGCAAGTAAACAGTGATCGTTATGAAAGAATAAATGAGTAAAGACAATTTATTTACAGAAGAAAGTGGATCTTATAAGCTCAGAGCAAACAGAAGAGTGAGATGGTGGATTATTCATCATCGTGTTCACTAAAGAATACATGTTATCAATAAACACACAGAGCAAACAGACGATACTGAGAGGAAAAGAGATCCACAGCAAACACATCTGCTCCAAAACCTAGTGCTCCCTACATAGGCAGCATCCGAACTGAGACTGAACCTCACAAGTGAGAGATTGGGAAGCACTTCTGTGTATTACATTTATGCATTTGATTTCAAGAATGTGAAAACCTTTTATTTTAATAAAAATACAACTCGCCCAAATAATGGATAAAATAATGCATGAATTAGAATCAACTTTTTATCAATATTTTCCACCACTGAATGAAATGTGTTTTTAACTCCATCACACATAATGCGTTAGATTGAACTGAGCTTGTTGATCTTTCTATCAAAGTGATATTAAAAAAACTTAAGGAAGTTGCATCTTTAAGTTGTCTAGTTAAGAAGCTCGCTAGGTTTAAGAACAGATCCTGAACTGCAAAAAATGACTTTCTTAATCAGTATTTTTGTCTTGTTTTCCAGAACAAATATCTAAACATTCTTAAATCAAGACACAATTACTTGGAGAGCAAAATTACTTAAAATGTTAAGTACGGTAAAGTATTATTCAAATTAAGTGAGTTTATGCTTAAAACAAGTAAAAATATGTGTCAGTGGTGTAAGAAAAATGTACATTTATTAAAACTCAAAGGGAAAACATTTATTTTAAAGTGTTTTATTAACCATATTTCAAGGTAGCATTTGTTGCACTGAACTTCATTAATGCGAAATTTCTCATTTTAACAAAACTTTTTATTTTTTAACTTTGAGAGGAAATCTAAATAATTGAAATTTTTCAGAAAACAAGAATGATGTTTTATTCAAATTAAGCGAGTTTATGCTTAAATATCCACAAATAAAAATTTTATTCAAATGGAAAACAAGTTTATTTTTCTGACCTATTGTCATATATTTTCTCATTTTAAGTATAAAATCACTTAATTTTGATACCTTTGTTTAGAAAATAAGACGTAACATTTTTGCTTCTGAAGTTACTGTATCTTGATGTAAGAATGTTTAGATGTGTGTACTGCAAAACAAAACAAAAATACTGAGTATTAAACTCATTTTTGAGTCTCATCTGTAGTTTAAAAAACACTTAAAACTGCATAAACAAAACACACAGAAACACATGCAGTTATCTCAAATACACACACACACACACACACTTACATTCTCTTGCACACACACACACACACACATTCTCTTGCACACACACACACACATTCTCTCGCGCGCGCCGTGTAACCAAGCAACAGGCATGTGAAATGAACTACAACACATCACATTCACACACGCTTCAGCAGGTGAGAATAAAATCAGATCAGATCGTGTCTGAATGAGACACGAGAGCCTGCGGCCTCAAAAGCACCTGGTAAAGTATGTGAACACTCACTCACACTATTTAAAATGTGTCAGAACGCAATTTGTAAAGTATGTGTTCATGCATAAACTTTCTTCTAGGCTCTGTTTTCTCTTTCAGGTCGACGTGTTGATCTTTCCGAGCCGGTTAAACTGTTGACATGTTTGTATGAAGTGACCTGAACGGTAATAAAATTGAGATCTGAAGGAAACTCTATCGCCCTCTTGAGGACTCAGTGTGTCTGTGTTTGTTTCTGTTCAGAGAGTCAAATCCTTCTGATTCAGATTCAAGAAAACAGAAACGATTCACCTGAATCACGAGGAACACAGAGATAGTTTGAAGTTCAAGCACCTGTCAATCATCTCTGTTCCAGATCTTCCACGCACGCACTCACACACACACACACACACACACTTACATTCTCTTGCACACACACACACACACACATTCTCTTGCACACACACACTTACATTATCTTGCGCGCGCACACACACACACACACACACACACTTACATTCTCTTGCACACACACACACACACACTCTCTTGCACACACACACTTACATTCTCTCGCGCGCGCACACACACACACACACACTCTCTTGCACACACACACTTACATTCTCTCGCGCGCGCACACACACACACACACACTCTCTTGCACACACACACTTACATTCTCTCGCGCGCGCACACACACACACACACACTCTCTTGCACACACACACTTACATTCTCTCGCGCGCGCACACACACACACACACACCCACACCCACACACACACACACACTTTCTCTTGCACACACACACACACACACATTCTCTTGCACACACACATACAGGAAGGACATCGAGACACGTGTAACCAAGCAACAGGCATGTGAAATGAACTACAACACATCACATTCACACACGCTTCAGCAGGTGAGAATAAAATCAGATCAGATCGTGTCTGAATGAGACACGAGAGCCTGCGGCCTCAAAAGCACCTGGTAAAGTATGTGAACACTCACTCACACTATTTAAAATGTGTCAGAACGCAATTTGTAAAGTATGTGTTCATGCATAAACTTTCTTCTAGGCTCTGTTTTCTCTTTCAGGTCGACGTGTTGATCTTTCCGAGCCGGTTAAACTGTTGACATGTTTGTATGAAGTGACCTGAACGGTAATAAAATTGAGATCTGAAGGAAACTCTATCGCCCTCTTGAGGACTCAGTGTGTCTGTGTTTGTTTCTGTTCAGAGAGTCAAATCCTTCTGATTCAGATTCAAGAAAACAGAAACGATTCACCTGAATCACGAGGAACACAGAGATAGTTTGAAGTTCAAGCACCTGTCAATCATCTCTGTTCCAGATCTTTCCGATGCTTCATCACAGTTTATGTGAGAAGATAAATGAACTGATTCAGTTACAAACTCAGTTTCAGTTCTGTTTTGCTCATGTTTCACCCCAACAACAAAAAGAAATGAGAAATTACATTTTGCATAAAGCAGGGTTATTATAGGTGAACTAAAACTAGTAAAAAAAAAACATTTTCATTGCTTGAATTTTTTTTAAAGTTAAATAATTTTTTTTATTTATTTCAAGCTACTTGCCAAGGCAACATTTTTTCATTTTAATTTAGTTTAACTTGATGTACCAAAATAGCTCAAATTAAAATAAAACTTAATAAAAACATTACAAAAATTACTAAAACTTAGTACTTTAAACGAACGTAATTTAACTAGGTGATTTAAATGAAACAGAAAATGCAAAAATATAAACTAGTTGAAATTATTAATAAAAATAACAGTGGCATAAAGAACTTTTTTTATTTAAATTTTGACATTATTTTTACGACAATTAAACATGTTACAATTAGCCATATAATATTAATAATAATATATTCAAATTGTAAAGTCAATTTAAAAGTATTAAGTATATTTCATGGTACCATTTATTAATGTTAAATGTATCATTTTAATTAAAAACCTCTTTTCTGGGCAGGACGATTTGTAATCCTCTATCACAGTGATAGAACGGGATTGTATTAATGTTTGGATATTTAATTTGAGAGTAAATGCGATTTAATAATCATAATGCAAAAAAAAAAATTCAATGATTTTAAAAACAGGCTTCATTTCCTTTATGAAAAATATAATTTCGCATGTTTTTTTTCTTTTCATTTTGGTCTGAAATGTGAGCTGAAAGTTGCTTTTCTTCATGAAATTCACTCATTTATGAACGTAAGGGGTTTCACTACGATTCTAGTCCGACATTTAGAGTTAAAGAGTTGCAATCAAACCAAATCATCAGCAAACACTCAAAACCAAGACAAAGTAAAGCCTCATGGGTAAAAACGAATTCATTATTGTGCCATTCGAAGGCTTGAAGAGCGTCTTATTTCATGAATATGAATCATTTTGGGCAGTTTATTTAGTATTTCATTAAAGCATTACATCCAAAATATCTAAAGCCGAACAAACATGAGCATGAGCAACCAGAGCCTTCACCTGCTGCGTGAACAAATTAATACAACTATTCTATGAAGATGAAGAGTCACCATCCATCTGCGTGAAATAACCAATAAAAAACATTATCTAATGAAGAAGTGAACGGAGGGTTAGTGAAACCTAAATAACAGCGGTAAAAAAGAACGATTATTTCTGTCCTTTCCGTCTGCTGCGTTTCCTCTGACATGGAAACACAGGAACAGAGGTCACGACCCCTGCTTTTAGCCCCGCCCCCCGTAGCTTAATCCCGCCCCCTGTGCCCCGATCCGTGTCTCCGGTGTCGTCGATGCTCGCGCCGAGATCTGTGGTGTTGCCGACGGTAACGGTGAGATCGCGGTGCTGGAGGGAAACAAAACGGTCACATGACTACATCTGATTTGCATTTACATTGAACATTTGGCAGACGCTTGTATCCACTGCAAGGTTTACATTTGATTGGTTCAAGCGCCATGCTCTATTGTCCAACTTAGAAGCAAGTACCAAATAACCAGTGAATTAACCGCTTCTGACTGCACTTACGGCATATTTAATACTTTTACAACCATAATATTACCATTCAAAATATATTAAAATTAACATTTCATTAGATGCAAAATAGTTTTTGTCCACAATTCAAGTCAAATGTATTTGTATAGCACATTTCTCAATACACATTGTTTCAAAGCAGAAAATCTTGATGTTAAGGTTTACAATATCTTAATATCTTCATGTCTTATAGTTGCATTTAGCAGATTAGAGCTGTGTGAAAATATGACTCACATTTTGTGCCGTTGAAATGTGCTGTATAGTGCTGTTAGTATACTGTATCTATGCTGCAAAAGATGATTTCTTGCTCATTATTTTTGTGTTGTTTTCCAGTACTATTTTTACAAATATCTAAACGTTCTTAAATCAAGATACTTAAGAAGCAAATTGACTTAAGATAATAATGCATCAGAATTAAGTGAGTTTTTGCTTAAAAGAAGAAAAAATATCTCCTAATGGGGTTAGAAAAATAATCGTAAGTAATTTTGCTTCTCGATTAAATGTGTCTTGATTTATGAATTTGTCCTGGAAAACAAGACAAAAACACTGAGGAAGAAAATCATTTTTATACTTATATATCCATACATTATACATTTTGTGACAAAATAAAACAATACATAATATATATTGCTTTATGTGGGTGTATGTATGCAGAAAATATATATTTCTGCTTGTTTTCTAAAAAAAATAAAAATAAATAAATAACACTTGCTTTCTAATCTTTTTGTATTCTATGTTTTCTTTTCATTTATTATGCAATTAAGAAAAGCAAAAAAGACCTCTAAAAAGACCTTGCTCTATTCTTTTTCTATTCTATCTGTGTTCTTTTTATTTATTATTTAAAAAACCCTTGCTACATGTGCTGCATTAAGCTAACTGAGAATTGTTACAGCACTTGTATATCATTGCTCTTTTGTTGATTTTGATTGCTTTTATTGTCCTCATTTGTAAGTCACTTTGGATAAAAGCATCTGCTAAATGTCTAAATGTAATGTAATGTAAATATATAAAGTGCAGTGCAATAATACAATTCACATTTTTGCATTGCCAACAAAGGGTATATTATAACAAAGTATTGAGATGAAATTTTGTTATTGACCAAATACTTATTTTCCACCATAATTTGCAAATAAATTCTTTAAAAATCCTACAATGTGATTTTCTGGATTTTTTTTCTCATTTTGTCTCTCATAGTTGAGGTATACCTATGATGAAAATTACAGGCCTCTCTCATCTTTTTAAGTGGGAGAACTTGCACAATTGGTGGCTGACTAAATACTTTTTTTCCCCACTGTATGAACAATCACAGAGATGAGATTTGCTATACAGTATACTGTATGCACGCAGGTAAAGTAAGTTGTATTATACATGCATCTTTTAATACATAGCTGAGTGGGTTATACATTTTTCAACGATATGACCATAAAGCATGGTGCTACCTTATCAAAAAGCAGATCAGTATTTTGAGACTCACATTTAGTGCAGATGATCTTGGGTCTTTCCCAGGTCCCGGTGGGTCGGCAGCGGACAGTCGGGATGTGTCCCTGGAAGAAGCCGTCGGCGCACTGGTACCGAACCACTGCATGGATGTCGTAGTGTGAGCGTCTGCGGCCCACTAGAGACGCGTTATCGACGGCAGGCGGAGTGCCACACATCACTGCAAACACACAGACATATCATAAATCATAAACCATCAGTGCTTGTCTAACGGAACCGATCCTTAACATGCAAAAACTTTCAAATAAAAATTGAACTCGCAACATAAATGTTTTTTTCCCATCAGAATATCAGCCAATAGTTTGGATGCATGCCACTATTTAACAGAATCACATTTTATTAAGCGAAATAGTAATTTTGGTTAATTCTGGTTATTAAATTAAATGTAATTAATTATAATTTAATTTATTTTTAAACATAAATAATAAACATAATTTAGTGTATATTTAAATGTTAATTAATAAATATAATTTAGTTTATATTTAAATATAAACTTTTCTAAATATAATTTAATTCATAATTAATTAAATTTAAATATAAATTAAATTGTTTTTACATTTATATTTGAATGTAAATTAAATAACACGTATAAATATAAATGTATAAACATAAATTATTTTAAAATATAAATTCAATATATTTTATATTTAAATATAAATTCATTAATATAATTTAAATATACATTTAAAAATGTAATTCAAATTAAAAGCTGTTGCTTTATAAAAGCGGATATGCAAAATGTGCCAATAAAAACAGCAGTTAAGAGCATGATTAAAACAAAAAGGTCAAAAAACTAAAATCCAAAGTTCTCATGCATTTCATCTTTTGCTCTTTGGCAAACTACAATAAAGGCTTTAGTTTTTTCACCCGAATTTATGATGTTCAAAGAGTTGATTTTTGCCTAACTGCATGCAAAGTAACCAGCCTTTACAAAACACATCTACGTGTCAAATTTTTTGCATGCACATTCATGACCCTAAATGAGAAAAAAAATCTCAAATTTTCAATAAGAAATAGTTTAACCAGTGTTTCAAGAAAATCGAATGCAGCTCAAATTCGCAATCGACTACAAATAAACCTGTATTTTCTGTATAAACACTTCAGGTTCCAGGAGGGAGAATACGATTCATTAAATGTTAACCTTTTCAATTTAAATGAAATGAAATCCTGCAATCCAGGCACAAACGCTGCATCTCCAGACAATGAGCCTGATTTCCATAGGCAGGGAGCCACCGGCCGTAAATCTGTCCTCTGGCGTCCAGATCCTGGATGTGCCACAAAGGACGGCATCGTGGGAAATGTAGTGCAGAGCCCAGAGCTTAAACCCACAGTCTGAGCCTCTGAATACTTGCACCCTAAAAACTGAGACCTCGTTGTGTGGAGCACTGAAAGACGGAGTTTAGTCTCTCATTCAGAGTCCATTGAGATGCCACACAGAGCTGATGAAGCAGGACTGAGGGGCGATATGAGACCGAACACTTGCTGAGGAATCAATGGACACATCAAAACACGTTTAATCTGTGCTACTGGCCAGAAGATGACAGTCAAAGCGACATTGAGATGTCCGTGCAGTTTATTAAGTGCAGCTCACACACACACACACACACACAGGATGATCGATAACCCCTTGAACTGGAAAACACGCTCGGTTTTGAGGTGTGTGTCAGTGAAGTCAGTGTTGGACGATGCATTAAAGCTTTAAAGAGTCAGAGAAGATTACTGGCTGCTAATTCAACTTTATATGTACACGGTTTATGCCTGTTTTAAGACTAAGTAAAGAAAATGTAAGAAATAAATTGAAGGGAACACAAAACCCCCTGACATTCTTCATCGGTATTTTTGACATTTTCCATGGCAAATTCATAAACAATCATTGTTTTTCACACTGTAGATGGAAATGGCTGAATGATTTTAGTAATCGAACATTGGCTAATGAGTGATGACGTCAGTATAATCAGTGATTTGAAAAGTGGAGGGATTGAATAGTTTTGCACACTGAGGAAGGCTTTGAGCCGAAACGTTTGTGTCTTTTCCCATCAATGATTAATGTAAAATAAAACGAAAAAAGAAGACGTGAGTGCGGATCATGATCTCACATACAACATTTACTGCCATGACTTTAAGACATTCTGTTCTGATTTAAGACATTTGTAAGGCCTTAAATTATATATACAGTGGGTACGGAAAGTATTCAGACCCCCTTAAATTTTTCACTCTTTGTTATATTGCAGCCATTTGCTAAAATCATTTAAGTTAATTTTTTTTCAAAAAAAAAAAAAAAAAAAAAAAAATATATATATATATACATACACAGGTATACCTTAATAAAAAAAACAACAATCAAAAAACAGAATGTAATGAGATATAAACTCAGAATTCAGAGGGAAGAAAGGCAGAATTGCAACATGTAAACTCTTAAATGCGAGAAAAAAATAGTTTATTTCCTGCAATTCTGAGAAAAAAAAATCTTAATAGTGAGATAAAAGGTTATGGGCTTCCATAAAAACTACTACAACTTAAATAAATATTAATGATATAGACATCTGAAACAACAACAACAACAAATAATGAATAAATCTCACAACAAAATTCCTACAAATGCAACTAAAATGAAAATGATAAAAAATTAATTCAAAATATTAATAAGTTATATTATATCAATGATACTAAAACACACTGATATACACAGTATCACCATCATACTTTTTCTAAACAAGCGTCAGGAATGTTTTCATATGCATGAATCATTTCAGCTCATTGGTGTTTATTATTATGCATTCCCATAATCCATCTCTGCGCTCACGACTCTGCGGTTCCATCAGATTAACATTCATCAAAACATTAATAAAACCCCTGAAAGCTCAGTCTACCTGCAGTGTGTGTGCGAGATGTGGGTTAAATCTGAATGAAGGCCACCAGAGACCTGCTATTAAAGCAGCACACAGATGTAATTAAGTCTCTATCAGTGGAGGGGCGGAAGAAACACCAAGGTCGAGCAAGTGTGGATAATGAATGAGGGATAATGTACAATCAGCCTGTCATTACTGCAAAACAAACCCACCGCAGGGTCTCGTATCACCCAGACATGGGCGGTGGGTTTTTGTTAAATGTGAGCCAAAATCATCACAATTAAAAGAACCAAAGACTTAAACTACTTCAGTCTGTGTGCACTGAATTTATTTAGAGAGCAGGGAGAGCAACGATAACCCCCCAGGGTAAACAGAACAGAACAGAACCAACATAAATGTATTGCAGATATTGTTAAAGTTCAATAATGCTATGTACACATTTAGAATTATTCTGATTCAAAGGAGAATCAGAAGGCTGAATCCTGACTGACAGAGGAGGAGCTGGGGATGGAGGAGGGTAATTAGCTATTGAGCAATGCGAAAACTGCTGATAATACTGAGGGACCTTATATATGAATGCTTAGATAGGTGTCGTATTCCCAAAGGTTGATGGGGATCAGCTGAGAGTCAGCTGATGCGAGCTTGACTAACGTGACCTGCCAGAACTAACGCTACGCGATATTAGGTGAATAATGATCACTGATGTGAACTTGATTCGTCTGATGCTTTGGAACATATACGGTAACGACAGACATAAGGATGCGCTCGTTGATCAAACAGTCGATTGGCTGGTTTGAACAGGTTTGATGACAGTACTCTAGAACCTCTGTTCACAGGTGTGTCGTGCACAGACAGTAGCCTAATGATAACTCCTTTCGTGCTCTTCCCAATATTGTGACAAACATCATATTTAAAAGACAGAATTTGAAGGAAACTGTAAGATATGCACGTTTTATTTTCAAAATGTTTTTGTTATTGACGCGGTGAGTCAGGCAGTTATTTGCACTGCAAAAAAATAAGGCCTATCTCCATTCAACTATACATTCTAAAATATATGTTTACTTTATAGGCAGAATTGCATATAATTTGAATAGCAATGTGATGTCTCAAAAAGCATTTATAGTACGTATCTCAAATTTTCCTAACGTATTGTACCCTTAACTGCGTTAAACATGGTGTCACGTGGATGGAATATTAAAACTAGGTGTTGTAAGCTCCATATATGGTGATTTCGGGGAGGAGATGGGGTGGAGATTCATGTTCGCACAATCTTCCGCTGACTGGGTATTACAAAGGGAATTCTGCACAGGTTCTGGCATACGCACGGCTTTATAAATCTGAAAACTTTTGTACGTACGCAAAATCTAGCTTTTGTGCGTACGCACACATTTAGGAAAAAATCTACGTAAAGTTTTATACATGAGGCCCCAGCTGACTGAACATTATCCTGCTTATTAAATGGATACTTATAAAATAAATAAGATATGAAGAAATGATTTATTATGTGAGAAGAAAAAGAGTGTGGAGTGATATGAGAAACATGGAACTAAAAAATATATAGTGTCATTATAGACTGTAAAAAAATCATTTTTCAAAGTTATAAATAAAACAAAGATTTATTTTTTTTTGAGTAAAATTCTAAAAAAAATTGTACTTCAAAATTTCATACATGTTACTTGCAGGTTCTTTGTAATTATTTGTGAAATGTACTAGCAATTTCTGAGTGAAAATTGTTTACTTATAATTTTTTTTTCAGTGTACACACAAGAATCAATGATTTCAAAAGAGTTCAACAATATAATATGATTAAGAGAAGCGACTACAGTTTATGCTGAATTAAATGCCAGATATAGTTTATTGTTTGTAATATACCAATAATAACCAGAAAACTATTTTATGCATAATGCAGGACTTTTAATTATTAAAAAGCCCAAAATATGCCATGACTCTTATTTTGAAATGTCTTTGCCTTAATTATTCCAGCTGCCTTTTTAAAAAGGCGAGGGAGATAAAATATGCACTTTTACATACATAATACTCTTATAACATACAGAATTACAATATAAACCCCATAAAGTAATTCATTAATTCATAACAGTAAATCACAATCACGGTTTTCTTTGCTAACATTATTAGCTTTACATGACATCCATTTGCACTATATTACATTTTACTGATTTTTGCACAATGTGAATATGCACATGCAATATAGGCAAGGTATTATTGGATATGCAATATGTTAATTTGATAAACTTGCCTATTGCATATGCAATATATTAATTTGATCATAAAGTAAAAGGTGTAGTGAAGTCTATGGCTCACATCTTTGTATCATTGCCTTTTAAAGTTCAAATTTTTAAGAATTTCGTTAAACCATTTAAGATATCTTAGATTTTCCACGACCTTAAATTTGATCAAACTGAACTTTTTTAAGGACCCTGGGGAGCCTTTTGAAGTCATATGATGCTTTATGTAGCATCCGTTAATGTTCACTTTTGATTGCGAATTTTGCGGTAAAGTTAGTTGAGAGTTAGTAAACCATGCAAGAATTTACATAAAGACTAAAACAGCACAGGAAAGTGTTTTCTGGTTATATACATTTTTCTGAATTGTTCTTTTATCTATTTTAAACTTTAAGTAAGGCTTATTCAGAAAGCAAATGAAAAATACTTCCAGAGCAAGACAGCTGAACAGTCACTGTTGCGCTCTACTGGAATCATCTCAGATTAAACACAAACATCCAATGGACTGTGAAACAAATTTCCATCATCTGCAGACACTATCTACATCTCTGCAGCATCATAACTATGATGAAGCATCTACCAAATACACACACAATAATGCAACTGCATTATTAGCAGTAATGCATCATCGTTAGAGTCGCTGTCGTCATGGGATGCAGAGGAGGGTGAGCGATGCTCATGAGTCTGCTAAACCACTGAGATGAATGCCACAATGTGTTACAAAGAGAGAGAGAGAGAGAGAGAGAGAGAGAGAGGTCAACATGCACAGCACACCTTTGAGACACTGACAAACAATGTAAAACACTAATGAGAGGAATGAAAAGACCTGGCAGAACTCGCAAAAGCTTGTACTCCTTGCCAATATTACTAGCTGACTCCATTAATATTGTTATTGTACGTTATTTGACTGATATTGCATATGCGGTATATTAATTTGAATGATTTTTGCACAGTGCAAATATGCATATGCAATATAGGCAAGATATTATTGCATATGAAATATATTGACTTGACTGATTTTTGCATGTGAGTATGCATGTGCAATATATGCAAGATATTGCATAGCCATTATATTAATTTGGCTGATATTTTCACAATGTAAATATGCGTATGCAATAAATGCAAGAGTTTACAGCATATGCAGTATATGAATTTGACTGACATTTGCTTAATGCAAGATATTACCGAATATTGCATATGCAATATATTAATTTGAGCACAATGCATAATATGTTAATTTGACTTATTTTTGCACAATGCGAATATGTATACGCAATATGCAAGATATTACTGCATACTGTATATGTACAATATATTAATTTGACAGATATTTGCACATTGTGAATATTTCATATGTTCAAGATGTTAATTTGACAATTTTTTGCACAATACAAATATGCATATTATTGCATACTTCATATGCAATGCAAATATGCATGTGCAATATATGCAAGAAATGACTGCATATTGTATATGCAAAAAATTGTAAAATTAACATCTTGCACATATGAAATATTCACAATGTGCAAAAATCTGTCAAATTAATATATTGACAGAATTTTGCACAATGCTAATATGCATGCACAATATATGCAAGATATTACTGCATAAGCAATTTATTAATTTAGTAAATAAGTAAAATAATACACAGTAAAGCAAGTAATATCAGCAAATAAAAACTTTGGCATACAAACAGAATTTAATTATGCAGTGAAGGTGTTTCCGAAATCTCAGAAAAAGTGCCTAAAACCCTTTTAAAACCAGCCTGACCAGTGGAAACCAGCTTGGTGAGTTAAGCTTTGCAACAAGGATAACCTTCATCTTAAAGGTGAAGATCTCCGAAGACCAGGCAAAGAGTGTTTCTGATTGGCTAAAATGTCTGAGCCACTCCCCTTTTCTCCTCAGGACCATCACAGAGCCACTGATTTCACTAATACTAGAGATATTTTATGTGTGCTGCTCCACAAGCATCACGTCCAGCACCTTTAGGCTGGTTTAAGAGTCATTTCCCAGCAGCGAACGGCTTAAATCTTAAAGCTCGCTTCAATTTGAGTGGAATGTGAGTCGTGTGGTGGGAAAGGATCATGTTTGCAGATGGGATGTTTGCAGATGTTTCTGAGCTCATGTTCAGGCTCGGGCATCTCACCTCTCTCACATCGGTCTCCGCTGTAACTCGGCAAACAGAGGCACACAAACGAGTCCTCTTTATCGATACAGGTGCCGCCGTTTTCACAGGGGTTCGACTGACAGTCATCAACATCTGAAAGAACAACAGTCATCACAGAGTCAGAAAGCATCACGCAGGAGTCTCTCTGTGTCCCAGAGCAAAACTACTTCTCAGCTCTTCTGTTTAAATATTAACTTGCTCTCAGATGATTCTCCCAAAGTTCCCTAGTAGAAATAAATTATACACATTACAATTATTTGGGTCTGTAAAAACGCTGACTTCAGCAAACGTCTGCATACATATGTATATTAATATATACAAACCCATTTTGTTGTTATTGTAACCTAAAACTACAGTATAAATTTTTTTTACGGACGTTTCTGTTTAACTCTAAAACACAACACAATGAAATGTAAAATTCAAAATACTGATAAAAAAACCTGTAAACAAATAAATACAGAACAATTCCTTCAAACTATACAGTATATTGTGCCCTATTTTCACAGATATTTTTTTAGAGTGTAACTGAAATAAAGATGAAATAAAATAGAATATAAATAGATAAAAATCAGATAAAAATTTGAAGGAAAAAAGGAAACTTAAAAGTAAAAAAAAAGGGGGAAACGTGTGACTGGGGTAGTCAACACTACAAAACACAGCTGTTAAACATCGTTTTAATAATCCATTTAATAATTTGAATTAAAATAATCATTTACACTCAATACGTTATTACTGCATACTGTTTTATAATGTACTACAATACTCAGGTGCAGATAACTGCCATGATTTGCATTAAGCAGTATAAATAGCAGAACATCCCGCAATAAAAACTAATAAAAATGCCCAAAACACAAAATAACTAAACGTTTAACTAAAGTGAAAACAAAAAATATAAAAATAAAATCTTTCAATTCGAAATATTAACAAAAACCACAATAATATGCTAAAACAACACTGGAATATAGAGCACATTTCAAATAAACTGTTCTATGTTGTTTTTAGAGTGTAACAGAATTAATCCCTGTCTAATCAGGGTCATGGAAAAGAGCAGGTCAAACCATCTGCGTGTATTTTCCACTGAAGAAATCAAGTCATGCAAGTTTGGAGCAACATGAGGGCGAGTAAATGAATCATTTTTGGGTGAAAGCTGTAGGACTGTAGATCATAGAGCAGTAATATCTCGGTTAAAGGTGCCATAGAATGGAAAACTGTATTTACCTTGGCATAGTTGTATAATAACAGTTCTGTACATGGAAATGACTTACCGTGAGCCTCAAACACTATTGTTTCCTCCTTCTTATGTAAATCTCGTGCATGCAAAAGACCACTGAAAAATAGGCGAATCAGAACATAACACTCACTGTGACGTTACAGTCGGGATCACTAATAGTTACGCCCCCAACATTTGCATAAACCCGCCCATGTTCTATGCCAGCCGCCAGCCGAATCATCAGAAGTTCTGCAGGTTTTGTGAAGAAACAAGCGAGGATAATAGTGAAAATGGCAGATCATGGAAATAAATGTTATGTTCCAGGCTGTGCAGGGATGGGTTGCTGTCTGTATTCAGAAAGGCACGGAAAACAAATAACGCGCATTCTAATAAAATAACGCGAGCCACTAAAGGGACATGGTTAGCTGCTTTCTAGCAGTAGTAGCCTGTTACATTACAGTACATAAGATTTCACTTAACACATAAACAGAGTAAGGAGAGATGACTGAGGATGATGG